TTATTTATTTATAATAAACACAAATATTTTAGGGAAGCGACCAATGAACTAACATAATATTATACCTACCTATCGGTACTACTACTACTACTACTACGTATAACATAATATTAAAATGTACAAAARAGCGATCAAACTCATCTGTGAAAAGTCAGTATAGTAAGAAATCCTAAGTATAATCCTAGTATCTGTGGTATAATTTATCGTTATATTGCATAACCGGATGACACTACAACGAGTATCACCACTCACTAGCTTTACTTCGCATATATAGGTTTTATTATATTATTATGTGTCGAATGCATTAATAATATTGACACGTGATGGTCCAGGTGTTGTGTCCTCGTCATGGACTTGTGCATTAATCGGCGAAGAAGGAAATAAAWTTCAAAAACTTAAAACACACTCGTAATAATAATAATAACATATTATTATGCCAAGTAGTTAATTGTGATTTACGATGCGGCTGTCGTCATCATAGTAGACAGTAGCAGCGACGAATGAAAAAAGTATATTTTTTTTGTTTTTACGTCTTTTCTCAACCACAGTAAAAAAAAAAAAGCCATTCCTTTTAATAATTATCTTCCCGACCTTCGTCATGGCGCGTTTCTATTGCACAGCCATCGTATACAATAGAGTTGGTACCTATTCGACGATTCAATGATTTCAAAACTACCACCCGTGTGTACAGTTTTTCCTTTTCTTTTTTTGGCAATTAAAATCGATTTAATTAGATATATTATTAAACGTATAATATTACACTTGCACCGATGCTCGCACTGYACTTTGAATATACATTTTAACCGAGTCATTACGACGAAGTAGAAAAAAATTTAAAATTGTATAGTAGTTTTGCTATAATATTATTGTATGTATTATTTATCATGCTCATATTTTCGTAAATTGTGTTTAGAAATTAAAACAATATTAGACAGTCCTCTCTCGCYCTAAAATTATWGAGAAAGCGAAAATAGTTTAAAATATTATTTATAATTTCTAAATTTATTGTTCGGGAGTATAAAAGAACTGGCAGTATAAAAAAACTTACGTTTCATGTGTAGTAAGCATGAAGAAGAAGACTTTATGTCGCAAGTTCAATATTTCTGCCAAAATATTATAGTATTTCCGTTCATCTTAGCTCTTACTATTAAAATGTAAAACTTCTAACTATGAAATGCCAAATTATTCTAATAATAATAATAATAATCAGTAATAAATCTAAAAATATCAAATTTAATTAATATATATTATATGGGTTATATAGGTACGTGGAACGTTATGAGTCACAACTTATGACTAATATAAAACACGTTTGTTWCTTCTTACCACACAAAACGTAATACTTGTAAATATTATTATTAGTGTAAAAATAGTTCAATTTATATAAAAAGATTTAGTTTATTTAAAAAAGGAATTCCTGAAATTTTGATGTGGATCTAATAAGCTAATATTAATCAATGAGACCTAATGCCGGTATAATTAGAGGGAATCTGGAGAGAGTAAAAAACTAAAACACAATTAAAAATAAGTTTACACAAAACCCACAACAGAACGTTTCACGTTTCTTTCGAAAATGTGCATTTGTCATTTGTATTATACATTTAGCTATACATTTTAAGATTGTATTAAACCCAACATTCAGTTTTTTTGGCCGGACAAAAGTCAAAACATTATTATATCTATTTAGCGACGAGCGGAAACATAGCTGTGTATAATTTTCATTTACTGAAGTCTTTGGTTTTCTAKATAAACATCAATAGGCAATGACAAAATAATAATAATAATTAATAACTTACTGCACAACACTCACAAACAGTTCAAAAACAATAAGTTATAATATACATGATTTAACAGAAACACCTGACAAATTAAGTACCTAACTATTGCTTTAATCAATATTTTTTAGTATTTTTTTGTATTTTTTTGTATTTAATTGATTTTATTTTGTGTTCCACATATAATACAATATTTTTTTATCAAAATTAAAATAGTTTTGGGTTGGATACAATTTTTTTGTTTGTGGCCAATTTTTCGTATTCTCCATATTTATAAAAAAAAATTGAACATTGATTAGAAAAAAGTTTTTTCATTTTTCAGGTATTTCTGTTACACTCAGTATAAGTATTATACTAAGCTCTCGTGTATATTACATTCACAAATTTACATACAATAATTGTGATGTTCCTCAAATGAAATTGCTGTTTTTACCGCAAATTCAAATTAAAGAAAAAAATAACAATAAAATATAGTGTTAAAGTGAAAGTTATCATTTAACGATTTAACTATAGGTATTTGCCAAAATAAATCAGGTACTTACATTATAATTTCCTGTCATTTTTACTTCTATACAATAATAATTATTAGATATAATAGATATTAATTATTACTAATAGAATATAATGTAATTTGGCTCTCATATTTCAAGTATTAAAATCTTAATTATTTTACTCAAAACAGAACAATTTACAAACTATCACATCAACTCATAAATTATTACTTACCATGTTTTTTTAAGGTATAGGTCACCTGTAGAGTCATTGATTTTTTTAAAATAATTTTTAATTTTTGTATATTTTTATACATGCGTCGACATATTTTTTTATATATTAATATAGTATTACTATTTAGTATTTACTATCAACAGGCTACAGTTAGCATATTTAATTTAGACGTTTAAATGTTTCAACACATTCTAATCTAACCAATTGTAGATTAAGGCATTATAAATCTTAAAAATTTATAATTGCGAGGGCGTTAAAAATCAGTATTTTTCCACAACCATGTTAGGTGTTCATGAAAAAAAATGTTTCCAACATACGAAACATAATGTTAATATTGTTGGTTTTCAAATATTTAACTATTATTATGTTAGGTACATAATTTATACATAATATATCTAATATAGTTTAAAATGTCATTTATTAGGTACGTATAATGGTGCTACAGTGGATGACCCAAACAAGAACAAAAACAAATGGTGCTAATATTTTTCCAACACCTATAGGTACCTCTACTCTAATAYTACTACACAGTGMGCGTATTTGAAGTATATGACCAATTTAAACGACATATTTTTGAAGCTACAAATATTTATATTTTGATCAATAAATAAATAAATGACTCTCAACAATTAGACGAGAAAAATATAGACCAACATTATTGACGACGGTGACGTGGTGTCCACTGTCCACCAAGCCTCAATCGTTGTCATTACATGATATTGATATAAGCAATAGGTACATCGTAACTAAATCGACGGAGAGATTGAGATCGCCACCATTATATAATGATTTAATATCACTATTCTGYCGTCGGAAGTTTAATAATATGATAATATTTTATTTTGTGTTTTGACATGTCACTGACGTCTYCAACACGGTTTATCACAGCGTCGCATAAACATCGTCAGCGCCGCTTTGCAGTCCAAAATACGTTTGTAAATTGTAATCTACGATTGCAGCACACAGCAGACGCCACTCAGTGACCCAACAGCGGAAAGATAATAATCGTCGTCGACGGGCCCACACAAAACTCGAACGATTGGCGACAGACGATACGTACAACTGCAATACACGTTTCATACAATAATAATATTATAATCACCACTCGCTTATCGTTTTCGTGGCGGTATATTAACTACGTTTATTTTTGAAACAACTGTATATTATGGCATGACGAGCCGTTTGTATACTATACAGAGTGATTCAAGCACCGAGAGCCGTTTTGAATAAAATATCATCTCGGAGATTCTACTTGTTATTTTTTCAAATTATTGTTAATACACTTGAGGGTATAATATTTGACATTTAGTATCCAAGTTCCACAAGCTAAAAGTTCCATGGCGTGCTTCTTGGGATATTACCAGATTCGGAATAAAATAATTACCTTGTACAATTGTACATTATATATAATAAATACTCTAGGTATATGCCGGCGGTGCAGCAGTTGTCACGAGTTGATATAAAATATGTTTCTACGCTAAATTTAACTCGTTTCGCTAAATGTATAATATTGAACTATATCTACCTATATAACAATATATTAATATATTTCTGCATATAAACACCGCCGCCTGTGACAAAACGAGACTTATTGCGCGCGTGATATTAATTATTGTTGTTGTTGTTGTTGTTGTCGGTATGTAGTGCAAGAATCTATTTGTATATTTAGACACAAAATCATCAATCAACATCGCTACCGGCCCGGTGTTTTGTGGATTATAAAATTAATTTTAAAATTGTATATTATAATCAGGRCGTGTAGTACACTCGTCATAATATTATCCAGTTCAAGATTGCAACAGCAAAGAAACAAAAATTGAGTTGACTACATAATTTTTTCTCCTTTTCAAAACAGCTCGAAGTCACTTCAGAATATCATCAAAAAAATACGCATTGCCTTTTTAAATCACTCTMTTGAAAAAATACTTTTTGAGTTGTTTCATTTTTAAACTAGATGATCGAATTGTTATTACTAAGTATAGTAATCTTCACTATGAACTGAATTATTATTGTCGCTTCTAAAGACTACTATAAAAATATTGTGTCATATTAATATTGTAATGGCTTTGAAGTGGAAGTGTTCAGGTGACATAAACGACACCTAACTCTGTCCAACGARAAAACTCGTKCCGGTCCGACGAAAATCGGWTCTTCTGCGCATCTCTGCACAAACTCGAGACTATAGTTCCATCGGGAGGGTGTCTCGTAAGGATGCGCAGAATCGCTGAGGCCTCTTTTCGGACAGAGRCGTCACAAAGTAGTATAATACTCCTGGAAATCAGACGACAATAATGTTGGTAGTATCATATACATTACATAATTTATAATATATTATTACATTTTTCAGAACTTGGCTCTTACTCAYTCCGTTCACCAATATACCGTTTTCAACATACAATACAACCGTAAGTATACGGCGGGTATTTGGTAAATTGAGTGTGGGTGAACAGGACACTTCTAAATACTTAATTAAATTATATTTATTTAACATATAATTAGTACATAGTTATAAAGTAAATATTCCAWTTTTTTTTTATATATAATATTGTATCTGAATAAAATGAAATTTATATTATCCTTTATTTTCATTTTCGTTATCTACTTAGCCTACATTTTTYATCCTACATGGATACAAGAAATTTCAATTTTATTTGTGTGTTGTGTACTTCAAAGCTATTTTTAAGCGACACTTGTTTCAGAAACTACACAAAGTGGAATTTTTATTAAGTAACTATACTATATTATAATAGCTATAGATTTAGAATATTACAATATACCTTTTAATTATGTTTTTAAAACATCACATAAAATGATACTAATTCAAAAAAAAAAAAGGAAAAAATTGATGGCAAACAAATTATTGGTTGGTTTGGATTGGAAGGTATTACAGAGGTATATGTGGTAATGGGAGCAGACTATTATATGTTCAAATACGATGATAATACTAGCAAGTAAAATAAWCACATTTRTAATTTTACTGGATACGAAATATTATAAATGCGTGTATTATATTTTTTTTCCATCTCCTCTATAATAAAGTCCTAATTACGCTACTGGAGCCAACCAAACGTGACCTTACATAGTGTTTGGTGGCATTATCATAATACGATTCAGTGAATATTATTTTATACATCTTCAGAGGGCCTGGAATAGGAACGCGTGAAACTCAAACAATAATTGCACACAATCTTTTGGATAAAGAGAATTTCATCAAAATGAATATGAACCCTTGCACCGTTGAAAGAGGTTATCCACCATATGAGCATAAAATATGTTGTAGACACAATTCATRATACAAATCTCGTGTATAATCATTTGTATAATATGTATATATAGTGGCACGCGCACATTCAATACTAATACACTCTAAAATCGTATAATTTATTAATTTTTAAAAGATTTAAAATTCAAAACAATTAAACATTTTTCTATATAACTTACAACCGCATCATAATATCTTGACATTGATGCATTGATATAGTATATTAATTTTAATAAATATAATAGGTATTGGTAAATAGTATAATAATTATAATATTATATATCTTAATTTTTGTTGATTCAGTAATACAACACATTAAAGTTACGTTTATTATAAATTAGAGATGATGGTAAAGTATATAAATGCCACTAGATGAGTGAAACAGCATCGCCGTACTCGTATATTATAATCATCATTGTTATAATTWTATATATTATTGTTATGTTTAGTAGTTGTTGTAGTAGCGGTAGAAATCTGACAATCTATAGTACTGTGGATCCTCTTGGTAGTGGTTTAAACCCTGAAAATAATTATTCTACACAGATGTGAGGATTCAATTCTGTTTTTATTTTTTTTTATCATACTTTGGATCCATGTAGAGCTCTCTGCTTGCGCTGGAACTCATCATTGATGTAGAAATCTTTCGGCGACGACGGGGCCAATACWACAGGGCGCTCCGCCCAGACTTCTGTATTCAACAACAACATCACAATTATTATTATTATTATTAAGGTTATTTTTTAATTAAAGATAGGTTTACGAAATTACTAATGATAATCGACCGCATACAGGTCGTTAAATGTCAAATGACACGGATTCAAATAATTAATTATTATTACATTAGCACATTATTATTATGCACAGTATAATAATATTAATGAACCACGGGTAAGTTTAAACGCGATGAGATATTAACCCATAGAAAAATAAATAAGACAAATGGTCATAGCTAATAAATCAAACAAAAACACTGGTAACGCATGTCCTCGGCATCCCATTTAAGGAGAAAATCGTAACGACGCGACGCCATTGAAAGTAAGAGTACGTGCGAATTATACAATAACRTTTGACTTACTCGTATTGTCCATACGTTTAATACATTTACTACACTAGGATTAAAATTTAGTAAATYGTGGTTATATTTCAAACGTTAAAACACTCTCACCTTGGACGTCATCATCGTCATCTTCTTCTGGTATTTCATTTTCTTCGTACGGGATTGTTTCGTGACCATAATTTTGTCCATAGGTTTGTCCGTAGTTTTGTCCATAACTTTGACCGTAGTTTTGCGCGGGACGTCTAAAAATATACTTGTTGGTAAGTCGATGATTATTTTTGATAAATTAATATTATAATAAAAMAAATTATATAATTTATTATGTATGATTAAAAAATGTCTTTTCGCACTCCTCTCCCTTCCAGCTGGATTATAATTTAATCGTAATAAATCATCATAATATTATAGGGCATAATATGTTGTCAAAACATTTTAATCGACTTTGCGGAAAATAATTAATTACATTTTTTTTATTATTTAAAAAACAACATTTTAGTAATTTCTAAGTAATGGTGAACGTAATTCTTTTAGTTTAGGTATATTGTATTATTTATCAAAACACGTTATATTTTCTTATTCGGTATTGTTGTACTTATAATATTGTTATTGCTGTTGAGTTTTGTAATAGCCTTGTACAAGGTCTTTTAGTATAAAGCGTCATGGAATATATATTGTTGTTGGAAAAAAAAAATTGAGAATTTCTGCAGGATATGGCCATGAAACGCTTGAAGTGTGTACCATAACTACTGACAATAACCATGTGCAGTTTAGCTATACACTATATATTATTTTATACATATTATTATAGTGATGTAAATCTTTTTGAACATAGCTGTGTGGATTTGTCAAAGAGAGACRTCCCTTTATAATGTTTCAGTTTTCTATTGTTTTAAGATATAATATGACCACCCGGGGCCTGACCTCGACATTTCGTTAGACCGTCATAGGTTTTATAGTTCTGTAATTTATATTGTACGGACAATAATTACAATTGTACAATTAAAACGTTCAAATCTCAGAAGTTTGATTTGATATCGACAAAATAATGATTTATTAAAAATATTTGTGTCATAAATTATTGTCAGCTTTATTACAACAACTTTCAATCAAAACTTAAACGTTCAAAACATCAATAATTTTTTAATAATCAAGGAAAACTATGACAATATTCATTGGGAAATCAAAATTGATAGTTGAAAAAYTTGCATCTATGTTTCGTTTTAAAATCGAATAAATATTAAATAAATAATCAAATAACAGCGAACCGACAACAAATTAAAATGTACGATCACGTAATTCGCTATCTATACATTAAATTATAATGCTTATCATAATACATGCGCTCTAAATAGTAAAAATAAAAATAAATTGTTATCTTTTATAACTATTGGTTACATGCCTGGATTTGTCTCGAGCCTTATTTGCTTCCAGGATGGACATCAACGCTAGCAATTCTTCGGGGTCGAAAGGCAAGTCGCGTTTGGCACGTCCGCTGTCCAAATAAGAACCGTACACTCTAGAACCACTTTTTACCAAAACATTAAAATAGATACATAAAATTGGCACAAAGTRTTAATAATACTAAAATATCAATTGAGAAAATGGACGTTTTGTGTATTAGGCAAGCACTCAACTCTGGTATAAACAATGTGTTGTAAAACAATTTGGTGTAATGCAATTTTCATGAATTCTCTCCATTCCTATTATATTGATCGCCTCATAAATATACGATGGCCACGTTCAATGAATAATTCAACTGTGTCATTACGTTATTGTTATATATATTGTTTCTTACCTCCTTTTAACTGGTGAGCCGAAATGGTAAGCGTTTCTTTTATAACGGTCATCTGCTTCTAGTGATTGAATTCCATAGGAATCTTAAACAATAGAAATGTCTCATAAATATAGTTGGCCATGTACAGAACAAGTTTCATTAAAATTTGACTTATTTTGACCCAGAAATTGAGAAATTGATAAACATTAATTTATATTTGAATTGAAGTAACATGAAAACATAAAAATAATGTAATTATTAAAATATAAATTTAGTATATTGTTKACTGTAGAAAACATTCTGGAATAATACAATCCAATACTGTGCTAGAATGAATGACTTTAATTAAAAACTACCCAGACAAAATTGTTGGACAAAAAATATCCTTCCAAATTAATATTCATTAAATTCAAATCATTACTTTTTATTCGAACCAAAAATGTATTGTTAACATAATTCTTATTTCTCGGAAACATTTTGAATAGTTTTTAGGTTAAACTTATTTATTACATCAATTGAATTACTTGAATCATACCTTAATTATGAAATGGAAACTTGTCACGTCACTTATACATATATAATGTGTGTATGTACTATGCTCGTTTTATTCACAAGCTTTTAAATATTTACTGATATTTGRTCATATGGCCGTATCTTAAATGTATCAATTATTTTTGTTTTTAATTTTCTAATAAGTGATTATTATTTCACGAATTTTTTTTATTAAATTACGKTTACTTAACCAATAAGTTTGTTTTATACGTGTGTGGATTGTAATATACTCAGGTTCATACAGAGTTTTACCTTACAACGAAAACAGTAAATAGATAGTAATTTTGTTCATTTGTGCGATTGRTGCCTAGCTAATTCGTAACATTCATTTGGATTTTAATTGTAGAATTAAAAGTATTAATCATATTTAGCTTCTTTATCTACATCTATGGAACTTATAACAAGCGATAGTTATATGTCATCGTTGATTTATTCTATATTGTAAAAGTTAAGAATATGTGTAGGTTAAATTATAATATAATRCTAAGCCCTGTATAAGTACTTTTGATTAAATATTATATAACATTACTAATAATTATCAACAATATGGCCACGGTATGCAAACATATTGTTATATCGTATTGTTTCACAGTCCTTCTCCTTTCCAGGACAAGCACTGCAGGTGACTGTTGTCATTCACGTACTGTGTTTGGTGAAAGTCAGAAGAAGTATTCGTTATTTGATTAAATATTTTTTTTCAAATTTAAAAACTAACCCGACATTTATAGATTAAAATTTGAACTTAAAGTTGATCGTCAATCACATGCCGTGTTTTGTGAATGTTGGTAGTAGTTTTCATTGTTTGATTAAATATTTGTTCAAATGTAAAAACTAAAACCGACGCTTTTGGATCACAATTCAAATTTGATGTCYATCGAAAATAGTTTTCATTTGGACAATAACATCAAGGCGAGTTCATTKACATAGTAATCAATAACCAAAAATTCGTTGTACATGCTCCAATTTTTAGTCATATTTATGGTACCATTATTGTATCTATTAATTATTGAATATTATAAAGTCACGTAACAAGCAATCATTATTAATATTATCTATAAATTGATATTTGAAACGAAACTTCCGTGATACATTTTCTAGGGTAAATAAAAAATTTCTTAATTTCTATTTATACGTTCACAGAGAAAGTGATATAAATGACAAATTATTATCTTTAAAGAATTCTACAAATGGTATATTATCCTAAAATGTGAGGCCTAGCTGTTATAAAGCGAAAATAAAGCAATTAAGTCTAAATAAAAATTAATCATTTGAAAATTGACAATATCAAGACATGGCAAGTTATAAAATACCTAACAGATACAATAATAACAAACAAATTATTTACTATCATAATGTTAATAATAGTATACTATTGTATTAATTATATTTTTTATTACACGGCGTCTTGTATATGCAATTTTAATACAATGGACCTGCAAAAGTTAAAATAGTAAAATGGTTCGTAAAATTGTGATAGCTTATTATTTATTAACGTCTTGTAATGATTAACAAAATTTAAAACTATTATACAATTTTAAAATTGTATAAATAAATCTTTATGTCATAAGAGTGTTAAATATAACAGGCCAACGATTAAATGGAATAATTATTAATGATATGTATTCAAATTACATGTTTGTATAATATTATGTTTAGTAAAGAAATATTTTTTTGAAAATGCCATGTCTTTATTTTACGAACTTATAATGTCAAAACTGTATAACATTTTATCAAAATAAAATTATATGATACCTACTATACTTCAAAATTATTGAACTGTTTTCAAATGAACTTTATCCTGAGGTGAAGTAAATACATTTACACTGAATCATTCCTCTTTACAATATGATTTAAATCCTAATTTATTTTAACGTAGATTTAATTATAACGTATTATGTAAATTCTAATAACATCAACTCTCGAGTTACGCCGGATGAAAATTTCATTAGACTCTTTTTAAACGCATTTTTTTACTATTTGCTGCACAAGTTTTATTTAATGTATTTACTTCGTAATCACCCAACAGTTAACCTCAAAAACATTCAGAAAATTATGAACTCGTTAAGTCATAACATTGAAAAAAATGATATTGAAAAAATACGAACAATATTAATCAATCCATAGTACAGAATTTATTTATCAAGGAGTTATTATTTAATGCTGCGATTAGAAAGGTTTATAAAAATACATAATAATAATATGTATAATGTATATTATATACATAAAATATATATAAATATATTTATTAACATTTAATTATTATTAATTATTAGATAAAAAAAAATAGAGTTTACGGTGGATATTTAATACGAAACATTTTATTTATTTCAAATAAGAATCGTGGTACAAAATTTGCATTTAATCAAATATAAACATCAAAAATAGCAACAATATTATTATAAATACAGTTTACACAAAGTTTTCGTCAAAATATTAGCTTTTTATTAGARAGAGAAGTTTATGTACCTACTAAAGTAGAGTAATTTATTTTTTGTTGATATGTAAAAAAACAACTTTTTAGATTATTTATCTGCAGCTGAAAAAATATATTATGCAGACCGTTATCTTTTTATTTCCCATCATTTGAGTCGATCATATACTATGTGCACATGTCAATTTATTGATATACAATTCCACTTTTTCATTAACTCTATAAGTTATAATTGCATAATATATTTATATATTTCTWGATGAATATGTTTTAGTAATTAAATATAAAATAATAAAATTACATTTCATATTCAAAATGTATAATATTATGCTATTCATATTTCATAAGATTTACTCTCTACTACACAATTTCACTGTAAAATTAATAATTATAATGAATTCGGAATTTCCAAATTTCATAATTAATACATTATTAGAAACTACAACTTAAATGTTCTATGTATATATCGTATAGTAATATATTATTGTATAGTTTTATTATTCCAGGATTTAATTTGTTTTCTAGATCAGTGGTTGTCAAACTGTGGTATGGGTACCATTATAGTGGAAAACTACATGGTGATATGAGGACGGCCGTAAGATGAAAATTGAAAATAAATATATTTACATGTGTTTGAAACTTTGAAATAGTTATTATAATATTATATATAAAGCAATTACAGTTACGTACATTAATATCACCGGAAATACGTCAATGAATAAGATTATTATTATATACTTTTATTAATCATGGAGACATGGACATTCATCGTGCACGTAGGTACCTCGATAAATGATTCTGATTATTTTATATTCATATCAGTACTAAATATTTTCTCCTTGACTGTTTAGGTTACTAATAAGCGTAAATAGTTCTATAGAGTCTAAATTGTTTTGTTCAAAAAACGTTTATTTTGTATTAGGTATATAATTGTATTACACTAGTTGTCCTGTCCGACGTTGTCTGTGCCAGTTTTGTTTGTTCTTTAATGCATTTAATAAAAAAAAAAATATGTAGCTATGCTGTATTTCTACTATACTATATTATTATATATAAGTATARCAGTAGGTAATTTAATATGTTACCAATGACAAACATTTAAATAAATAATAAGAATATTGGTTTTTGTGAGCTGAAAAAAAGYATGTGGGCTGAACCATTTTCTATAAAGGGTAAACAAATTCCAAATCCTTTAACACCTTCGTGTATACTCTTTCATTAAAACAAATACACATGTCTATCGGATGATTGGCTGTCACTGACATTAACTATACTCATTCTCACATTTATATACTTATATTTATAGATTCACTTAGTATTTCTGAACACTTTTGACCTCCAAAAGTAGCACTAACTATCATCTAGTCAATTAATTTATGATTTTGGTCACGTTTCGATTTTTTCAATATTTTTCTTTCTAAGCACGTGCAATAACAACAAATTAAAGAACTCTTGAAGCATTTWAAAAAAATTATGTAATTTACCATGGTTTTAACTCAACTTCGTTTAGAATATTGAATATTGGTTTTCCAAAATGATAATTCAAAAATATCTAAAGCAGTCATCATTAAAATTTCTTTAAATTAATTTATCATAAACTATACACTACTACATATACATAATATATAGGTACTGATTGAAGAATTGATAGTAAACTAAGATCATTAAATTCTTTCCAACTATTATGTTTTGTTACTAAAGTAGAAAAATGTATATATAACTATAGGTTATCCGGTTCGCTATAAAAGGGCGTGGTTAATAATGATTAACTAAGTGCTCTAACGGCTAACGTTGACATATTAACCGTAATTACAACTTGAAAAACACAGTATAAAGTTAGTTTTTCCTTTTATTTTATCAGATATTTGTTTTGTTTTTTCTAACACAACGACAACATATTACCTATTAAGAGTTTTAACTATAAACAATATAAAAACAGTAAAATATGCAAGTTGTTGTGTTTTAATTTACTAGAAAATATTAAATTAATTAAAAAATTACACTATCTCTATTAAATACATGTATTTTAACCAGTCGATAATTGTATAAACAATTTATTGTCGATTAATGTCTGTTGATGTATTACATATAATTTAGACACGATTGACTACAAATTTTTATTACGGTCGTAAAAATTGTCATAGGAAAAGGCATAATATTATGTTATCTTGATGTAAACGATTTCCCTCGTGAGCATCATTGGCTCAGCGAGTGGTCTACAAGAGTTCGCAATAAACATATTTAATCGATTATGTTCTTTTTATCGAGATTACAAAATTTTGTCGCATTAGAGTGCGTGGCATTATTAATGTAGTTTGTTGTTTGTCATAACGTTTTAGTAACAATTTTCTGAAACGCCCATCTTGACCTTTTTGCTGCAGCTAAATTATGGATTGTGTTTCATCCATGGTAATTTTTTTATTCGAATGAAAATTAATAATTAATATTAGTCAATAAAATAATTAACAATTATCATTAAAACCGAAAACCGAAAACGCACAGAATCCAACGCATAAATTCAGTTTTGTTCGATTTCGTGGTCACCATATTGTTAAAACAAGATAAATAGCCAAATATAGGTATATGATATCGATTGCGTTTCTAATACATTTAAAAATACACTCGAAATCCAATTAGTATAAGTGATATTATTACTTGAATTATTGAAAGTTCTAATTTTTATACGTAGGATACTGACATTTATAACAGCTGGAGAAGAGGTTCTATCTTTTGAAACTGATTAAAGATGATAGTATACGGTATATTTAACATTTTGGAATACAATAGTTTGTAATTATTAATGAACAACTGAAAAATATTATCAATGGCTTTAGTAAATTGTTCATTAAATTTTTATGCTTCAATGAATAAAATACTTTTATAAAGTGGTGATTAAATACTTAAAAATAATTAATTATAAAAGGTCACTTGTGATTTTTATTGGTTAATGGAAAATTCATCTAAAATATAC